GCATACAAATAATAAAATTCCAATTCCAATTCCAATTCCCCATTCCCTTAGTGCTAGAGAGGAATTCCTAGGATTCATCAGAATGTAGCTGGGCTCTTCGGAGGACCTTTCTACTGTAGAGGTCTCCTGGTATAGGAATTTCTATTTTCTTTCACAGGTCAACAAGACTCTGAAGGCCACCTTGCAAAGTCTGATAGATCTTTTGACAGCAGAGGAGCCCGAAGCTCTGGATGCCTTTCAAGGCTGTCAGTCTACAGAGTCACTCAAGTCCACAGGTTCTGATGCTGGTGGGAAGCAGGCATTGGCAAAGCGCCGGGCCAACCAGCAGGATACGGAAAGCTTCTATATCATGGTAGAATCCTAGATACCTGAAAGAATTAAACTTGATGCACCTTTAATATGCGGTCATAAAGACGAGGCCACCATAACCCAATACGTTTAGATAGTTATTTTTTTTTTAATTAATTTAGATTTCACCAGAACTTGTTTATGATCACTCACCCTCCTCCTATTTATATAAGAAAGCGTAAGGTCACTTTTGCTATTGGTAGGTCTCTTCTTTACGACAATTTCTCTATGAAATCACTGATAGAATGTTACCCTGAACCGTGACCTGACAAATGCGCGTCGACAAAAACCCCGTGACAAAACGGCAAAGTCGAAAGCGCGCCCACTAAAGCGCGCCCACTAAAGCGCGCCGACAAAACCGCGGCCACAAAAGCGCGATTAGGGTTTTTAAGTTAGGGTTAGGGTAAGGGTTAGGGTTAGGATTGTTAATGTTGTTAACATTTTCGTGTTGTTTTCGATGGCGCGCTTTTATCGGCGCGCATTTGTCGACGCGCTTTAGTGGGCGCGCTTTCGATTTTGCCTTTTTGTCACGGCGGTTTTGTCAGCGCGCGTTTGTCGGTGAACCACCCTGAACTAATCCCTGCTTCAGCATTGTTCTGAGCAAGACCTATGGCCAGAGACCCTTCCTTCAGCCCCATTTTAGAAACCTAGACAAAAAGAAGGTGGCTGTAAGGATTGCCTCTCCTCCTAGCTTAAGAAAGTGAAGACTCTTGAAATGAAGTATTTCAAAAGGAACCTTTTACTAAGTAGAAGTGAAGACAATCGGTTCAAAGCAACATCTGAATCCCCTGAGGCAAGACAACTAGAATTAAAGCGGTAGAGACCCCCTCCCATTCGTCAGAATGCAGATTTTAGCCAATACACAAGTGTGAAGGTGGTTCCTTTACCAGGCTGCCCTGAGAACTGGATAAGCATACATTCCCATGGCTATCTTCCGTTAGACATTAAAGTGAACTGTCCCACATGGCCATCATAAACGTTCCCCAAAAGGTTAGGGGATCTCAAGGCGCTTCGGCATCAGGAAACCAGTTGTGAAATCTCAGTTGTCACAGGCACTGTTAATAAATCGACTCCAAGGTCCCCCTCCTCCCAATTGAATGGCAGTATCTCTTTTAGGGATAGCGGCTTTGGATTTTGTCTTTCAAAGCGGAGAAACACAAATTATGAATCTTCTGTAGAATGAGAACCTCTGACCTGATTAGATACTATAGAGACCCGGAGTTTTAAAATAAAGTGATAGAAGATTGATTTGAGAAAAAAACAAAACAGTTTCTGACTCTTGTTCAACGGTGGAATGCCTCCTACTTTTGAAATTGATGATTTAGCTCTTCTCAATTATCAAAATAATGTAGAAAGATGACCGGGCTGCTTTCTTGGATTTTAAATAGCTGGCTAGATGCAACAAGACGCTAAACATTTGTGAAGGATGAAAGATAAGTTCTCAGTCTTCCTGGTATGGTTCCAGTTTGTTGAAAGCTTCAATAAGATGTCTTGGATTTGATCAGTATATAGAGAAACCTGTCCCACTCGGCCCAATCTTTGCTAACAGATTCCATGCTATCTCTTGCACAGAAATTCAAAGAATATCTCTCTGGACGAAGCATTCAAACAAAACTGCAAGCAAAGCATGACCAGATGAAGGAAGCGATAGAGAAAGGTGAGGTGTGAGGGAATAGACAATACCTGTACTCTTCGATTGGGAGCCTATTATTGGTATTTATTATATTTGTCCGTCTGTCCGTCCATCCACTCACTCATGCACCCATCTGTCCATCCAGCTTCTAAGGACTTGAGAAACCCCTGATAATATATAAAAGAATACATCACTTTGTCATGCGTTCTCCCAGAACACCCTCAAAATTACAGGTTGCCGAAAAAGTTTGCCTTGGTACTCTTTTGAGAGAATTTCTGATCCCAAGGTTCTCTGTGGTGAGAATTGTTTAGTTGTTTTCACTTAAGGGAAAAGCAACAGTCTATTGGAGAGTTGCATTCCCTTCTGTATTACACACACACACACACACACACACACACACACACACACACACACACACTCTTTCATACACACAGAGACACAGTGTTTGTTTTGAATCCTGAATGCTGATAGCTCTTTGAGTGACAAAGTCTGTGATTCTCTCCTGTATGGCTTTCCTTTGTCATATTTACTTGATCAAATATAAGTTCTGGGCTTTATTGAAACGATTATTTTTTAAAACCTTATATATATTTTGAGAGAGATGAAATTGGTTTGGAGAGTAGGATAAGAGCGGAAAATTATATAAATGTGTTGGAAATATATATTAATATCTGCATTAAATTAAGTATATGCTGTATAGAATTCACTATTAAAATGATATACTATTTTTTTTCTTTTTTCCTTTGTTGTGTTTTTTACATTTTGTCAAAAAGCATCTATGTACTTTCCCCCCTCCCCTCCACTTTTTTTGGCATTATTTTAAAAGCAATTAAAAATAAATAAATAAAGGACAAGTGCTTGCCAATTGAACCTTCGTCTTGGAAAGCAGGAAAAGAGGTTTCACAATTTCTGTCAACTCGTGCAACTCTGGTTTCTGAGCAAAACCAGATTCTTGCTAAGCTTGGGCCCAGTGAGAACTAGCAATCTGTATCAGTGAGTTCCTTCCAATGAGATTCTTATTGTAGAAGCAACAAGCTGATCTTCGACGAGCAACAAGCTCTCTGATTTTACTCTAAAATCAGAGGCATGAATAAAGCCACCAAGACTCCAAATTTTTTAACTTCTTGGTCTTCCTCTTGTTCTTTCTCCTTGCTTTCCCAGGTGCTGCGTTGGATAGAGAATTAGCCAGGTAAAAAAATGGAATCCTGGGATGAATGAAAAATTGCAGATTCAGTTGGTGGTGGTGGTCCCCTTGTAAGAATCCCTCAGGCCTACTCTGCAGTGGAGAATCCAAGCAGAACTCTGGGGAGGACACCGTTCCAGTTTGGGTGGGGGAACGCTCTGACATCTGCCTTCCTCCCCACACCACAAAAATGTTGGTTCCAGGCCACAGTCCCAGCGCATCCGGCGGTCCCGCCCTCCCTCGCGCTGTCATCACCAGCTCTTCGAGGGTGACCTACAGGCCTTCTTGGAGGTACCGGCTGCTGCCCTCAGCTGCTCCCCTCCTGCCCAGCTCCTAGTCTTGCTTTCTTGCCCTTTGCCTAGTGTGATTACTCTGCGCTGTTCTGGCCCAGCTTTTGCCTCTGGCTCTCCCCCTAATGGCTTTTGCTGCTCCCTTTGCTTGTAACATGTCTATGCTCACTCTGTCTCTCCTGTCCCTGCTGCCCAAGGAGGCGGAGGCTGCAGGCACGGAAGCAGGTACAGGACTGGCGGTGGGAAACGGTAGCCTGACTCGGTGGGTGGGGAGGCCTGCCAACCTAAGGGGCATGGAAGGGTACATAGGCTGCTTGCGTGATGGACTGTACTTTCTCATTAAAAAAAAACACACACACCATGATTTTGAGTGTTTGTGTACTCACTCACTTATATATATATTTATGTATGAGTGTGTCTGCAAGTATTTGTGGGATTATAAAGTGCTAACCTTGCATGAAGCATGCTTTGCACATCAGACTATTTAATACTACATTTCTGTATGTACGTGCCTATGTGTGCATGGGTTCACCCACAAAACCGCGCTCGACTAAACCGCGCTCGACTAAACCGCGTCGCTGACGTCATCAACAGGG